TTGTTTCTAGGCTTTCTTAACTTGTTAATCTCACCCAAAACTTTTTCTTATTTTCAACAAAATTTTTTGATAACATCTCCCCCACTCTCTCATTTGCTCTCTTTTTACATTGCTTCACCACTCTCTTAACCTCTTCTTTTTCTCCATATACTCTTCCCTCCTTGCATCACTTCTACTTTGTAAAAACTTCTCATATGCTAACTTTTTCTCCTTACTACTCTCTTTACATCATCATTCCACCAATCGCTCCTATTCCCTCCTGCACCCACTTTCCTGTAACCACAAACTTCTGCTGAAACACTCTAACACTACATTTTTAAACCTACCCCATACCTCTTCGACCCCATTGCCTATGCTCTCATTAGCCCATTAATCCTCCAATAGCTGTTTATATCTTACCCTAACTGCCTCCTCTTTTAGTTTATAAACCTTCACCTCTCTCTTCCCTGATGCTTCTATTCTCCTTGTATCCCATCTACCTTTTACTCTCAGTGTAGCTACAACTAGAAAGTGATCTGATATATCTGTGGCCCTCTATAAACATGTACATCCTGAAGTCTACTCAACAGTCTTTTATCTACCAATACATAATCCAACAAACTACTGTCATTTCACCCTACATCATATCGTGTATACTTATTTATCCTCTTTTTCTTAAAATATGTATTACCTATAACTAAAACCCCTTTCTATACAAAGTTCAATCAAAGGGCTCCCATTATCATTTACACCTGGCACCCCAAACTTACCTACCACACCCTCTCTAAAAGTTTCTCCTACTTTAGCATTCAAGTCCCCTACCACAATTACTCTCTCTTGGTTCAAAGGCTCCTATACATTCACTTAACATCTCCCAAAATCTCTCTCTCTCCTCTGCATTCCTCTCTTCTCCAGGTGCATACACGCTTATTATGACCCACTTCTCGCATCCAACCTTTACTTTAATCCAATAATTCTTGAATTTACACATTCTATTCTCTTTTCTCCTTCCATAACTGATCATTTAACATTACTGCTACCCCTTCCTTTGCTCTAACTCTCTCAGATACTCCAGATTTAATCCCATTTATTTCCCCCACTGAAACTCTCCTACCCCCTTCAGCTTTGTTTCGCTTAGGGCCAGGACATCCAACTTCTTTTCATTCATAACATCAGCAATCATCTGTTTCTTGTCATCCGCACTACATCCACGCACATTTAAGCAACCCAGTTTTATAAAGTTTTTCTTCTTCTCTTTTTTAGTAATTGTATACAGGAGAAGGGGTTACTAGCCCATTGCTCCCGGCATTTTAGTCGCCTCATACGACACGCATGGCTTACGGAGGAAAGATTCTTTTCCACTTCCCCATGGACAATAGAAGAAATAAAAAGAACAAGAGCTATTTAGAAAAAGGAGAAAAACCTAGATGTATGTATATATATATATGCATGTGCGTGTCTGTGAAGTGTGACCAAAGTGTAAGTAGGAGTAGCAAGATATCCCTGTTATATATATATATATATATATATATATAATATATATAATATATATCAATAATTTGATAGCCAATGTGAATTTTCTCATGACTGCGAATTTCAGACTTGTTAGATGAGGATGAGGAGATCCACCTTGAGGAAATAAGTGACGATGAATTGGAAGAGGATCGCCAGGCAAAATTCAGTAAGTTTTTACGTTGTATATTCTAGTGTTTTTTCTAAATGTATACAGTGGACCCCCACCTTACAATAGCATCGCGTTACGTTAAATCCGTCATACGATACATTTGAACGCAAAAATTTTGCCTCGCCTCACGCGATTCGTCCGGGACGCATCCCATGTGTGGCCTCGGCACCAGTATTTACAAGCCAGCCAGTGTGGTTGCATCCACGCATACATTTGGTACATTTCACCTTATCCCAGTGTTTTTTGTGCTTGTAACTGCAAAATAAGTCACCATGGGCCCCAAGAAAGCTTCTAGTGCCAACCCTGTGGTAAAAAGGGTGAGTATTAGTATGGAAATTAAGAAATATTTTGAAGGGTTTGGGGCTAACCCTGAGAAGCCTATGCCAGTTGTGGAGTCCATTGTGTCTACTTCAAAGATTAAGGAAATGTGTGCAAAGTGGGTTGAAGTGCAAACCTTAATGGATGAAAATTACCCTAACACAGCTATTGCAAGCCGTGCTGATGACTATTACAATGACAATGTGGCCCATTTTAGGCAAATCTTAAAGGAACAGGAGGTACAGACGTCTATGGACAGATTTGTTGTGCAGCAGAGGTCCAGTGACTCTCAAGCTGGTCCTAGTGGCATTAAAAGAAGAAGGGAAGCAACCCCGGAAAAGGACTTGCTACCTTAAGTCCTAATAGAAGGGGATTCCCTTTCTAAATAATAACTTCCACACACTCCCCTCCTCCCATCCCATCAATCATCACCAGATCTTCAATAAAGGTAAGTGTCATGTATTCTATTCTTAGTTGAGTAGTAATTGTGCATGTCTTCTTCAGTTTGTGTGTATTAAAATTAATATTTCATGTGGTAAAAAAAATTTTTTTCATACTTTGGGGTGTCTTGCACGGATTAATTTGATTTCCATTACAGTGAACCCTCGCCTAACGCTATTAATCCATTCCTGAGAGCTCAAAGTTAGGCGAAATTATCGTTAGGCAAATTAATTTTCTCCATAAGAAATAATGGAAATCAAATTAATCCGTTCCTGACACCCCAAAGTATGAACAAAAAAAAATTTTTACCACATGAAATATTAATTTTAATACACACAAACTGAAGAAGACATGCGCAGTTACATGACACTTGCCTTTATTAAAGATCTGGTGATGATTGATGGGATGGGAGGAGGGAAGAGTGTTGATGGTGTTAGTGTTTAGAAGGGAAATCCCCTTCCATTAGGACTTGAGGTGGCAAGTCCTTTTCCGGGGTTACTTCCCTTCTTCTTTTAGTGCCACTAGGACCAGCTTGAGAGTCACTGGACCTCTGCCGCACAACATATCTGTCCATAGAGGCCTGTACCTCCCGTTCCTTTATGACATTCCTAAAGTGTTTCACAACATTGTCAGTGTACAGGTTGCCAACACGGCTTGCAATAGCTGTGTGAGGGTGATTTTCATCAAAAAAGGTTTGCACTTTAAGCCACATTGCACACATTTCCTTAATTTTTGAAGTAGGCAACTTCCTCAATTTCTCTATCCCCTCCTCCGAAGCAGTTTCCTCAGGTGTGGCCTCTTGCTGTTGAAGATGATCTAGCAGCTCATCAGTGGTTAATTCTTCATTGTCCTCCTCCACCAACTCTCCACATCCTCCCCACTAAACCCCCAACCCCAAGGACTTCCCCAATGCCACAATGGATTCCTCAACTGGCATAGGATTCCCAGGGTTAGCCTCAAACCCTTCAAAATCCCTTTTGTCTACACATTCTGGCCACAGTTTCTTCCAAGCAGAGTTCATGGTCCTCTTAGTCACTTCCTCCCAAGCCTTACCTATAATGTTTACACAATTGAGGATGCTAAAGTGATCTCTCCAAAACTCTCTTAGAGTCAATTGAGTTTCTGAGGTCACTACAAAGCACCTTTCAAACATAGCTTTTGTGTACAGTTTCTTGAAGTTGGAAATGACCTGCTGGTCCATGGGCTGCAGGAGAGGAGTGGTATTAGGAGGCAAAAACTTCACCTTAATGAAGCTCATTTCCGCAGAAAGTCGCTCTGCCACGTCTGAAGGATGACCAGGAGCATTGTCTAATACCAGGAGGCACTTAAGGTCTAATTTCTTTTCAATTAGGTAATTTTTCACATTGGGGGCAAATGCATGGTGTAACCAGTCATAGAAAAAGTCCCTAGTGACCCATGCCTTACTGTTTGCCCTCCACAGCACACACAAATTAGCCTTGAGGACATTGTTTTTCCTGAACACTCTGGGAGTTTCAGAGTGATACACCAATAAAGGCTTCACTTTGCAATCACCACTAGCATTGGCACACATCAACAGAGTAGGCCTTTCTTTCATAGGCTTATGTCCTGGGAGTGCCTTTTCCTCCTGAGTAATGTACGTCCTGTTTGGCATTTTCTTCCAAAACAGGCCTGTTTCATCACAATTAAACACTTGTTCAAGTTTCAGTCCTTCACTGTCTATGTACTCCTTGAATTCCTGCACATATTTTTCAGCTGCTTTGTGGTCCGAACTGGCAGCCTCACCATGCCTTATCACACTATGTATGCCACTATGATTCTTGAATCTCTCAAACCAACCTTTGCTGGCCTTAAATTCACTCACATCATCACTACTTGCAGGCATTTTTCTAATTAAATCGTCATGCAACTTCCTAGTCTTTTCACATATGATCACTTGTGAGATGCTATCTCCTGCTATCTGTTTTTCGTTTATCCACACCAATAACAGTCTCAACATCTTCTATCACTTGCGATCTCTGTTTCGAAAATAAAGTTGCACCTTTGGCAAGAACAGCTTCCTTGATTGCCGTTTTCTTGGCCACAATAGTAGCGTTGGTTGATTGGGGTTTTGTGTACAACCTGGCCAGCTCAGAGACATGCACTCCACTTTCATACTTAGCAATGATCTCTTTCTTCATATCCATAGTAATTCTCACTCTTTTTGCTGTAGGGTTGGCACTAGAAGCTTTCTTGGGGCCCATGGTGACTTATTTTGCAGGTGCAATTACTAAAAAGGCTGTGATAATATGAAATGTTCCTATCGTATGCTTGGAAGCGACCGCGGTGGCTGGCTTGTAAACACTGGCACCCACGGAACAAGTGAGGCGGGCTCAGGCCGCACGTGGACGCGTCTCAAACGAATTGCGTTGAGCGAGTTTTTTAGCGCTAGCCGAGGCAAAACTTTTGCGTTAAAATGTATCGCTAGGCGGATTTAACATTATGCGATGCGTTCGTTAGGCGAGGGTCCACTGTATTTCTTATGGGGAAAATTAATTTGCCTTACACTAATTTTGGCTTACGATGAGCTCTCAGGAACAGATTAATATCGTAAGGTGGGGGTCCACTGTATATCATTATTATATATTATTATACACAATGCAGAAGGTCCGCAACATGTTCGTAAGTTGAAAACTTCCTGTATTGTGAATATTATACACAATTCAGGAGGCCCCCAATGTGTTTGTAAGTCAAGGACTTACTGTATTTCACTGTCATAGACTTTTACAGGGCTGTGGATTTGTATGTAGTGGAACCTTTGATCACGACCATAATTTGTTCCAAAACTCTGGTCACACCCCGATTTGGTCATGACCCGAACCTAATTTCCCCATTGGTTTGTATGTAAATATGATTAATCCATTCCAGACCCCTACGAACTGTATGTAAATATTGTTTTTTAAGATTTTTAAGTACAAAAGTAATTAATTATACCATAGAATGCACAGTGTAATAGTAAACTAACTGCAAAAACCTTGAATAACACTGAGAAAACCTTGAAAACTAACATTGCACAAGTCCTAAGAGTTTTAAGAGGCATCTAATGGCTGAACAGTGAACTCTGTTATTTGTAGTCCAATATCTTTCATTTTTGGTGTACGTTAAGAAGCATCTTTCCATCATCCATTGCCCAAGTTTCAATAAGATAGCCCAGAAAAAAAATATTTACCAAAAATCATATATGGCAAGCCCTAGCTGGGTACTGGCACTGCAAGAAGCTGTGTCAGCACTACCTGCTGATAAAACATTGCTAATCCTAATTTATCATGGTTGTAATTACAGGAAGTGGGGAAAAGTGGCACATGCGAAAAAAATGGCGCGAAATGTGAAAATCGACGCGGCTGTATTTGTTCGGCACCCAATTATGTGCTTGTGACCAGATGCAAAAATTTGGCAAATTTTTTGGCCGTAAACCGATTTCTTCGTGATCGGAAGCATTCGTGACCGGAGGTTCCATTATACTTCAAAAAAATTCTATATAGTGTTTACTTGGTTTAGTGAGTCTAACAGGCTTAACCCTTTCAGGGTCCAAGGCCCAGATCTGGAGTCACGCACCAGTGTCCAAGAATTTTAAAAAAAAAAATTTGTTATTTTTTCTTATGAAATCGTAGAGAATCTTTTTGTGAAGGTAATAAAACAAAAAGTACGAAATTTGGTGGAAAATTGACGAAATTATGCTCTCGCGAATTTTGATGTGTCAGCGATATTTACGAATCGGCGATTTTGCCGACTTTGACTCCCATTTTAGGCCAATTACATTATTCCAATCAACCAAATTCTTAGCTATTTCACTAGTATTACTTCTATTCTATCGATTGAGCACAAGAAATCGCCAAGTCAACTGTTTCAACTACAAAATAAAGTGATCAGAAATTGTTAATTTGGCCAATTTAACACAAAGTTCAAAATATTCCAATTTCAAAATAGGGTCCAGAATGAACAATGTAGGCATTCCTGGCACTAAACTAACATTTCCTCTGTTCATTAGTTATGTTTTGAGGCTTTACAAATAAATTCCATTTTGATTTTTTATTCACATAATGAATTTTTATTCACACCAAAAAATAGAAGATTTACTGTTATGCAATACTGTAATAATTGTATAAATATCATCACTATATTTGTGAATGTATATTAGACCCACCAGCTGACGTGTATTAGACGTGTGAGGTCGTTTGTTTACTCTTGAATATCGGCAAAAATTTAACATTTCTGCTACTTTGAGCTCAGTTTCAAGCCATTTCCAGTGCTAAAACCAATCAAAATCATCTCTATTTCTGTAATATGTCTTCCATTCTATCAAATGAGACCAAGAAATCGCAAATACAACTATAAAAAACATACGAAAAAACACTGCAAAGTTGCTGTTTTAATCGAAAAATCATGATTTCATTTTTTTTCTCTCATTATACACAGTGTGCTGCAGGATCTGTTTTATGTGGTGCACACATACCACATAGATGTATTCTCTCATATCTAGGCCCAAATGTACCACTCACAGTTTATCAGAGTGAGCTGAGCTCATGGCGTAGATCTACGGTTTGGACCCTGAACGTAAAGCCGTAGATCTACGGGACGGACCCTGAAAGGGTTAATGCTGGGTATGAGGTACATAGGGGTCCTCAACCGAGAAGTTGTGTTAATATTTCAACTTACGTGTTACATTCTTCGTGTTTCAACTCATGAACACTTTGCTTGTGACTTGCAAACTATTTTCACGTAAAACTATTAGTAGAAAAGGATGGTCATTTGTCACTTATCTTTGTAACTGGATCAGCACTCCTGAGACTTTAAATATTTCATAGATACGTATCTCGTTTGCAAGAGGATGTTCGTGACTTGGGTTTTCATAAGCTGGGAACCCCAGGTACTGTAGTGTTACAGTATAATCAGTGTTCTTATGAATGGCCTTCAGCTTGCATCCTGACTTTTTATAATGATAGCAGTTAGGTTAGGTAAGATTTGCCAGGAAACAAGATCTTATGGGTCTTAGTCATACGATGAACTGCACCTGGAGCTATTGGTCATCTAATCTAGGCCTTCCACTGGCTTGTGGGTCCACCATTTAAAAATTATGGTTTAAATTACACCATTATATTGAATGACAGTGACGTGTGATTACCTACTTCTATATAGACAAGTGGTACTATACTTTTGGTATCCCATCTACATTACCTTTGATTGTAAGCGCTTCCACGTGTAAGTTTTTCCGAATATGAGCAGTCGATGGGTTGATTTTTTGTTTCCATACGCGAGCAAAATATCCATAAGTGAGCAGACTTCAAGGCAGGTTCCTTGATGCTGGTGAGGGGCTCTTGCTCTTGATTTAAGGAATTGTAACTCATTTGTTTGTTGGATTATCTTATTGAGAGTTGGGCAATGTATGATGGAAAGATGCTTCTTAACGTACACCAAAAATGAAAGAAATTTAAGCATAAATAATGGAGTTCACTTCTCAGCAATTAGCCACCCCTTAGCGGTATTTTTGTATGGATTTTATGATTGTATTCAGGTTTTTTGGTCTCATTTGATAGATTGGAAGATATATTACAGAAATAGATATGATTTTGATTGCTTTCACGACAAAAAGTACCTTGAAATTTAACTCAACACAGGAGAAATGTTCATTCCAATATGCAGTCATAAATGGGTTGACATAATTTATACAATTATTGCAATAAGGCATAGCAGTAAATCTTATATTTTATGTGTGAATAAAAATTACAAATTTATATTGTAATAATAATAATATAATAATAATAATAATAATAATAATAATAATAATAATATGTATAATAATAATAGTATGTATAATAATATAATACAATAAGAACAATAATATAATATGTATAATAATACATATATAATAATAATGTACTACATAATAATAATTATAATAATACACAAATAACCCGCACATAAAAGAGAGAAGCTTACGACGACGTTTCGGTCCGACTTGGACCACTTGGCCGTCACTAGATGGCAGTGTTTACCACAACATAGAGGGAGCGGTTGTGGCCGCCTCCACCTGTTACATAATGGATTATTTTATTCATTCTAGGGTATATATCAGGTTTCTGTGTTATTTATATTGTTTATTATTTCATATTAGATGAACTGTGATAGATAAATAAGCCGTAGAGTTGATGATAGCGAAATATTCAAGAAATATTTTGTCCTGTCTCCAGACAAACTCACGTCGGCCGCCACCGCCGCCACATATATAATGACATATTTTATTCATTCTAGAGTATATATCAGGTTTCTATGTCATTTGTATTGTTTATTACGTCATATTAGATGAAGTGAGATAGATAAATAAGCCGTAGAGTTGAAATTAGCGAAATTATTGAAGCACAGAATTCCACTGGAAAGGATTAATTGCTATGTACAGTGCATGTGTTGTTCATGTTCTCTCTTCTACATGCATACTTGTGCTCACTGAATCTGGTGTCCAGACATCTGTTAGTTTCCCCAGTGTAAACTATTGCAGCTCCCTCATAGGATTAAGGGCACTACTCAGTCGAGTTAAAGACATCAGCATGTTACACAAGAAATTAATTGCATTTCAATTAATTTAATTGAGGGAAATTTACTCTGCAAACTAGCAAATCCAGTTACGAGCAAGGTCATGGAACAGATTGACCTTGCAAGTAGAGTTCTACTGTATTTACTACTTCCCTTCATAGCTCATTCCATTGTTCAAACACTTTAGTAAAATTTTCTGGTATCCCTTCAGCACCTCTTCTTTCTTAGTTTCAAATTGTAATTTCTTGATGAGAAATGATTGGTGTGTTAAAAAAAATCTTAGCATTGTTGGCAAAAATGTTCATATAATTTAATATTCCTTCTGTCAAGTTGTTTATATTAGTTAAAAACATTATTGGGGCAAGCATTGATCCCTAAGGCATCCCACTGTGTAATTACCTATTTGTTATTACTTTCTCAGTTTGTCGGTTGTGAGCTCAGGCTCTTGGTCCCGTCTCTTAACGTTTGACCTTGTATAGACTTTCTTCCACTGTGTCATTGTTTTAACAAGTGCCTATTTATCACTAATACATTTAAAAAATAATTGCTGATATCCTTCTTACCCATTTGGGTTTGTAATTTCAAACCATGCACTTGTTCTTGTTGCATCCCTACGTCTAAGGAGGTCCCCAACGTGTTTGTAAGTTAAGGACTTCCTGCACTGTAATACAGGAGGATCCCATGTATACAGCACTTATTTCTGGTGTTCCACATTGTTTGTGTTTCACCCACCAGCGATTGTCACTAGTGAGTGAAACAATGGCTCAATTAAAAGCCAACAAAAACATGGAACACCAAAAACAGGTGATGCATATGCAGGACCCTCCTGTACAGGTAACAGCAACAATAATCAGGATTCAGAGCTTCATCTTGCCATTTAATAATCATAATTCAGTTCTTGCTAGGTATGAGACTGTTACATATGTCTGGTTCGTGAACATAACTACTTACTGCAAAAAGCAAGAACCATCTGTACATAAGAATGATTACCCACATGCTTTGTTTATTTTTTTATGAAGTATACAGCATATATATAATTAATTTATCTCTGCTTGTTTGAAATGGTTTTGGAGGGAGATTTGTTTTATTTTTTTATTTTTTTTTTTTTTTGTACTTAATCAAATGCTATACTAAGAAAGGTAAGATTTTTTTTTTTTACAATATTTAAACAGTTTAAGCAGTTCTGTTGTACTATGAGCGATTTCCTATGTACAGTGCATGTGTTGTTCATGTTCTCTCTTCTACATGCATACTTGTGTTCACTGAATCTGGTGTCCAGACATCTGTTAGTTTCCCCAGTGTGAACTATTGCAGCTCCCACATAGGATTAAGGGCACTACTCAGTCGAGTTAAAGACATCAGCATGTTACACAAGAAATTAGCCAGTCTCAGTGTCATGTCCCTTTTCATTAAAGTACCCACTATATAAGCCATTGAATTCATTTTGAAGTAAAGTAAAGGACAGTCCAGCAGAAGATAAGTACTGCTTTCAAACACTGGCATAGTTCAAAACATTTCCCATGCTTTAGCCCAGAACAAGGTCAAAGTTGCTACCACTTCCACCACCACCCCTATCAAGGATTTCACCATGAATATAGACCAGAACAAATTTCACAGTCCAGTGTAGGAGTTTACAAGATTCCACGTGAAGGCTGTCAGAATTTACATTAGGGAACCCTCTAGATGTTTGGACACCAGAATCAGTGAAAGCAAGTAAGAGAGAAAACTTGAACACTGCATGCACTGTACATAGTAGTACATATGAAAAGCTGAAATGGACTGCTGTCAACATGATCGTAAGGGAAGAACTTCAGAAATGGAGCTGTTTGGAATTTTTGCTTATTAAATAAAAAACTTAGCAGCTAATATATAGCTATGATGGTTTTTCAGATGTGGCTGGTGCACTGGATATCAATTGGGCCTTACTGGTTCGAGATTCGTCCAAAGTGGCTACTAATGAAGTGGCAGCTGGAACTGCTCTCAAGCGTTTCAGTGCTTCCCATTTGTTAGCTCGCCTTGGAGTCTCCACTAAATTTGCCAGAGCAGAAGTGTTACAGCAGATTAAAGAAGCTTGCTCTGCTGATGCTACTCAAGAAGATACAGGTAGGGATTAAAATGTGTAACATTTAGTCACTGGCATAACAGAAGAGTTATGTAAATAAGAATTTGAGATTTGGATATTCAGATGTCGGGGCTAAAACTCGTGAACTTCTCTGTATTCTAAATACGGTATCAAAATCACTCAGCATAAGTGACTACTCCAAGGATGAGGAGCTTGGACAGGAGGAGGGAGTTGTGCTCAGTTTTTAATTTTTGGGATGTCTATTTTTATATTTATCCAGTATTCACTAACTTTTTTTTCATCGAGTAAGCATGTGGGAAATAGGAGGCAATCAGGTTTGATCTCAGGAGAGTGAGGATAAATCCAGTTCCTCTGATCACGATCCCCTTACTGGCATACTTAAGAAAATAATTAAAGGTGGCTACACAGAGCAGCAAAGTGTATATAAAAGTACGGAAACTGAACAGTAGCTTTTTTTTTTAATCTTAAGATAATAACATGCTTTATATACATAGCAACTAGGATGGTTGCTAACATATTAGCTGCAGCTAGAGGTGATGAGCTGACACATTGTTCTGTACTTTCTTTTCTTTTGTTTGGTAATGTAAGCATTTTCTTGTAACTAATTATTTTTATTATCACTTGTGTTCACTTATCCCACAGAGTCTAAGAAAGTAGAAATACCACCAGTGATTGACTCGGGCGGTGTTTTACGCATATTAAAGGCTCGGGCTGAAGATCGTCAAAGAATTCTGGATGGTATTGGCCCTAACAGAAGGGCTCTCTGTGCCCGGCAGGATATTGCACTCAGGTGAGATGATCCATTTTTTTTAGTCTCTTGCCATACATAATTTATAAATTTATGATAGCTGACCTACACTGTTGAAGACCTAGCAGCAGTAGAAGCAATTGATGAAGTTTTTATGCTTAAATTATGAAATTTTAGTAACATATACTTAATTACATAAAAATGAGATTACTAGACTATTAATTGCAGAGATATAATGTATGTATATGAATACTATGAATGTTTGGATTGAAGTGAGTGAGCAATACTTAGAGAAAGGAAAGTGTGTTTATGAGAGGAATGATGTAATTCTTATAGTATGTGCTGTATGACCCTTTAACCCTTTGAGGGTTTTGGTCGTACTAGTACGTTTTACGCGTAGGGGTTTTTGACGTACTAGTACTCATAAATTCTAGCGGCCTCAAATCTAGTGGGAGAAAGCTGGTAGGCCTTCATGTGAAAGAATGGGTCTATGTGGTCAGTGTGCACAGTCTAAAAAAAATCCTGCAGCACACAGTGCATAATGAGAAAAAAAAAACTTTGACCATTTTTTTTTAATAAATCAGCGACTTTGCAGTGTATTTTCGTATGGTATTTATTGTTGTATTCTAGTTTTCTTGGTCTCATTTTATAGAATGGAAGACATATTACAGAAATTGAGATGATTTTGACTGGTTTTACAATGAAAGGTGCCTTGAAATTGAGCTCAAAGTAGCAGAAATGTTCGATTTTTACCAAACTTCAAAAGTAAACAAATCGTGCCAAGCGTGCAATACACGTCAACTGGTGAGTCTAATATTCTTTTACAAGTGCACCAATAATATTTATACCATTTTTTACACTAATGCAGTAGTCTGCATAACAGTAAATCTTATATTTTTTGTGAGAATAAAAATTCAAAGTGGAAAGCAAAAGGATATAAGAGGGCCCTTGAGACGTGACTAATGACTAGAGGAAATGTCATTTTAGTGCCAGGAATGTCTTTCTTGTTTATTCTGGACCCTATTCGGAAATTGGCATCTTTTGAAATTTGTGTGAAATTGGCAAAATTGCTAAATTCTGACCACTGTACTGGATAGTTGAATTTATAAATGGGTGGTTTCTTGCACCCATTCGATAGAAAAAATGGAGTTCTAGCGAAATATTCATGTTTTTTGTCGACTAGTACAGTGAAATTGGCCGAAAATGGGGCTCAAAGTGGGCAAAATCGCCGATGCGTAAATATCGCCGAGACCGCTAACTTTGCGAGAGCATAATTCCGTAAGTTTTCTATCAAATTTCAAACTTTTGGTGTCTTTATGATCGGGAAAAGATTCTCTATCTTTTCATAAGAGAAAATAATTTTTTTTTTTTTTTTAAATTTGGCCGACCCTGAGAACGAGTTTCGGAGAGGGCCTGTCGACCCTCAAAGGGTTAATGTTTAACCTTTAATTTTATATTATTATAGTGTGTATAAAAGAAGGGAAATAGACTCCAATGAAAGTGAGGCTTAGACGAGGATGTGTGCTGATGACACAAATGTTTAATGTGAGTTTAGTTGGAGGATATAATTACAAACGACTGTAATTAGGAGATTAGGAAGAGGAACTTCATAGGTTCAGAAAGAGCTTGAAAGGATGTGTACATGGTAGCTAAAAGTGAATGCTTGAAACAATTTTTTAACACCGGCAGTCTCCTGCCAAGGTAGGGTGACCTGACAAAGAAACACTTTCACTGTCATTCACTCAGTCACCATTTATCCTGAAACACACTGATAGTTCAGATGACCCTCCAAACCGGAACATCCCCATCTCTCCAGAGTGCAGGTGCTGAACTTTTCACCTTCAGGACTCAAGTCTGACTAGCTGGTTTCTCTGAATCCCTTCATATGTTGCTCTGCTTACACTCCAGCAGCACATCATATATTGTTTGTAATGGCTTGATAAAGCTCCTGGAGAGCGAAACATTGCCTCAATAAAATGTCACATTAGTTGCATTTGTGTCCTTTTACTTTACACTTACATCATATATCGTAAAAACTACTTGCCATCACTCCTGTCTATCATGCCTACAGAAGCCTGCTAGATATCAAAGCCCCTAGCACACACAACCTCCTTTACCTTTAACTCCTCCCTCCAACCTTTCTTATTTTAACCCCTACCTTTTCTTCCCTCCTCCCACATTATATAGCAAACCTATTCTCCAACCTCTTAACCCCTTCAGGGTCCAAGGCCCAAATCTGAAGTGGTGCCCCAGTGTCCAAGAATTTTCAAAAAAAAAATTTGTTATTTTTTCTTATGAAATGGTAGAGAATCTTTTTGTGAAGGTAATAAAACAAAAAGTACGAAATTTGATGGAAAATTGACGAAATTATGCTCTCGTGAATTTTGATGTGTCAGCGATATTTACAAACTGGCGATTTTGCCGACTTTGACTCCCATTTTAGGCCAATTACATTATTCCAGTCAACCAAATTCTTAGGTATTTCACTAGTATTACTTCTATTCTATCGATTGAGCACAAGAAATCGCCAAGTCAACTGTTTCAACTACAAATTAAAGTGATTGGAAATTGTTAATTTGGCCAATTTAACACAAAGTTCAAAATATTCCAATTTCAAAATAGGGTCCAGAATAAACAATGTAGGTATTCCTGGAACTAAACTAACATTTCCTCTGTTCATTAGTTACATTTTGAGGCTTTACAAATAAATTTAATTTTTATTTTTTATTCACATAATGAATTTTTATTCACACCAAAAAAATAGAAGATTTACTGTTATGCAATACTGTAATAATTGTATAAATATCATCACCATATTTGTGAATGCATATTAGACCCTCTAGCTGGCGTGTATTAGACGTGTGAGGTCGTTTGTTTACTCTTGAATATCGGCAAAAATTTAACATTTCTGCTACTTTGAGCTCAGTTTCAAGCCATTTCCAGTGCTAAAACCAATCAAAATCATCTCTATTTCTGTAATATGTCTTCCATTCTATCAAATGAGACCAAGAAATCGCAAATACAACTATAAAAAACATACGAAAAAACACTGCAAAGTCGCTGTTTTAATCGAAAAATCATGATTTCAGTTTTTTCTCTCATTATACACAGTGTGCTGCAGGATCTGTTTTATGTGGTGCACACATACCACATAGATGTATTCTCTCATATCTAGGCCCAAATGTACCACTCACAGTTTATCAGAGTGAGCTGAGCTCATGACGTAGATCTACGGTTTGGACCCTGAACGTAAAGCCGTAGATCTACGGGATGGATCCTGAAAGGGTTAAGGTCCGAACCACCTCAACAACCCCTCCTCAGAGCTCTGAATAAAACCTGTGACAACCCCACACCCAATTATAAAAAAAAATTATAAATAGGGAAATAAAATTTGAGATCAAAGGAAGAAAATAATTTGAAACAAGTGACTAAATTTTACATAATGTTCTTCAAATCAAACCAGAATTTAAGAATTCTTCAAAGTGTGAGCAGGGTAATATTTTGTGAAGGGATTCAGGGAAACCAGTTAGCTTGACTTGAGTCCTGGAAATGGGAAATACAATGCCTGTACTTTAAAGGAGGGGTTTGTGATATTTGCAGTTTGGAGGGACATCTAAGCTGTTGTATCTGAGAGCCTTTGCAAAGACAATGATTGTGTATGAGTGACGGTGAAAGTGTTAAATGATGAAAGTTTTTTCGTTCTTTTTGGGTCACCCTGCCTCAGTGGGAAATGGCCGACGTGTTAAAAAAAATTAAGTGTTATAATAATAATATAGGCCACTTTTTTATTTTCATTTTATTAACCACTTCATATAAATCATTTTAATTATTTACTTTTTTTCAGACGACAGCTGTGTAATCTTCCCAAGCAGGACCTCATTGGAGATAGTCCTCTGCTTGACAAGGATTTGTTCAGGCAATCAATTTCTCTTCTGAAATCCTGTTAAATGTTACATCCCATACTGTTTGTATGTTTAATGTATTCTTAATAAATAACTAATGTCTTTTATGCATTTTTTTTAATACAGTGTCTACCTCCCTCCAAGGCAGAGTGACCTAAAAAAGAAAACACATTCACCAACATTCACTCAGTTGCTGTCTTTCCAGAAGTGTGTTGACATCATAATTTAATTTTTGACTACCCTTTGTGTAGAACACACACTGTATGACCCTTGTGGGTTTAGTGCTAAGTTTTAATTATATTTTTTTATTATTAACATATCTGCCATTTCCCAACAAGGCAGGGTGGCCCAAAAAAAGAAAAACTTTCACCATCATTCACTTCATCACTGTCTTGCCAGAGGTGTGCTTACACTACAGTTATAAAACTGCAACATTAACACCCCTCCTTCAGAGTGAAGACACTGTACTTCCCACCTCCAGGACTCAAGTCTGGCCTGCTGGTTTCCCAGAATCCCTTCATAAATGCTACCTTGCTCACACTCCAACAGCACGTCAAGTCCTTAAAACCATTTGTCTCCACTCCTATCTAATACACCCACCCACACTTGCTGGAAGTCCAAGTCCCTCATGCACAAAACCTCCTTTACCCCCTCCCTCCAATCTTTCCTAGGCCGACCTCTACTCCGCCTTCCTTTTACTTCATTGATTCTTTCTTTCTTTCAACGCACCAGCCGTATCCCGCTGAGGCGGGGTGGCCCAAAAGGAAAAACAAAAGTTTCGCCTTTTAAATTTAGTAATATATACAGGAGAAGGGGTTACTAGCCCCTTGCTCCTGGCATTATAGTCGCCTCTTACAACACGCATGGCTTACGGAGGAAGAAAGAAAATAGAAGAAAACCCAGAGGGGTAAGTATATATATGCCTGTACATGTATGTGTAGTGTGACCTAAGTGTAAGTAGATGTAGCAAGATGTACCTGTAATCTTGCATATTTATGAGACAGACAAAAGACACCAGCAATCCTACCACCATGTAAAGCAATTACAGGCTTTCGTTTTACACTCACTTGACAGGACGGTAGTACCTCCCTGGGCGGTTGCTGTCTACCAACCTACCTTTAACTTCATTGAGTATAATAATAATATGTGTAGAACACACTATCTAATGCCTTGCAAAGTGCATTATTATTGCTATTATAATCATAACTTTGTACTTGCAAAGTACAATCATGCTGGTAAATGTATATAAAGCACTGCAAAAAGTGGCCAGTACAGTACTTTTAAAAACAGTTTTTTCTAAACTTTAAAGTCATTTAAAAGATGGAAATGTGTACTGTAATCCCTACAAGAAAAGTGCTTTGATGCCAGTGAAGGGCTTTTGGTTTAAGGAAATTGAGCTAATATTTCCTACCTACTCCAGGTACTTTATGACTCTTGTGCATTTAATGCTACCCATATGACTAATAATATTAATAAACTTTAATAATATTGGAAAAGCTAAAATAGTCTTTTGAACGAGTTGCTTCAGTGCCAGTGAAGGGCTCTTGATACGTAGAGCTGGAGCTACTCTTTAGCGATGTATAGCCCTTGTGGTTTAGCGCTTCTTTTTGATTATAATAATAATAATAATGGAGCTACTCTTTCCTTATATGGAATTTAATTGCCTCCCATTTCCCAAGAAACTCAGTATGACCATATCAATAATAATGAGCAAGTATAATCAGTTTACAGCATAAAACACAAAAGTTATATATATTCCACAGCTGTATAGCCCATGTGGCTTAGCGCTTCTTTTTTATTATAATAATATATATACAGTGGTCCCTCAATAATCGTCCGGCCTGAAAGTCGTCCATTTCGAAAATAGTCCTGTTTTTTCGTCTAAATATTGGCTCGCAAATGGTCCGGTAACTTGCTAATAGTCCTTCGTCCCGGACGCGTACTCACGCTCTGAGCTGCCTTGGCCTTTCCTTCCCAGCCAGTGTGCCATTGTTTACCAGTGAGCGACGGTCCCCTCACGTGCTCCAGCGAAATATTTCATAATATTTCATTTATTTTAGTGCTTGCAAGTTATTTAAGTGCTAAATAAGCTACCATGGCTCCAAAGAAAGCTCCTAGTGCCAAGCCTTTGGTAAAGAAGGTGAGAAATACGATTGAATTTAAGAAAAACATCATTGAACAATATGATAGTGGCGTATGTGTGGGCGAACTGGCCAGGATGTATAACAAATCTCGTACAACCATATCTTCCATCATAGCCAAGAAAAAGGAAATCAAGGACGCTGTTGTTGCAAAGGTGGTAAATATGCTGACAAAAATTAGATCACCAGTACTCAAAGATGTTTAGAAGTTATTATTGGTGTGGATAAACGAGAAACAATTAGCAGGAGATAGTCTTATGATGTCGCTTATTTGTGAAAAGGCTAGGCAGTTGCATGACGATTTGGTAAAGAAATTGCCTTCAGCTAGTGGTGATGTGAGTGAATTTAAGGCCAGCAAAGGCTGGTTTGAGAGATTTAAGAAGCGTACTGGCATACACAGTGTGGTAAGGCATGGTGAGGCTGCCAGTTCGGACCACAAGGTGGCTGAAAAATATGTGCATGAATTCAAGGAGTACATAAACAGTGAAGGACTGAAACCTGAACAAGTGTTCAATTGTGATGAAACAGGCCTCTTTTGGAAGAAAATGCCAAAGAGGACCTACATTACTCAGGAAGAAAAGGCGCTGCCAGGACACAAGCCTATGAAAGACAGGCTGACGCTAATGTTCTGTGCTAATGCTAGTGGGGATTTCAAAGTGAAGCCGTTACTAGTGTACCATTCTGAAAATCCCAGAGTGTTCAAGAAAAACAATGTTATGAAGAGTAAATTATGTGTGTTTTGGAGATCTAATAGTAAGGCATGGGTCACAAGGGACATTTTCGTCGAGTGGTTCAATGAAGTGTTTGGCCCTAGTGTGAAGAATTACCTCCTGGAAAAGAAATTGGATCTCAAGTGCCTCCTAGTAATGGATATTACAAAAACACTAATTGGGTTTTACATTAGTGTTAGTAATATAAAAGTTCAGGATACATATATACACATTAAAATAAATTAATCTTTAATATTATATAAAAAACAATCTTTGGTCTAGAGGTATTTAAAATATGCATACATGTTACAATAATAAATTATTAGCATTTTAAAATAATAAATAATGATTTGTAACCCTACACACAGGGTACAACTTTTCAGACACTACTGTGTCACTATATATATCTATGCTAAAATAATAAATTATAAATAACATTTGTACAATAATAATTTGTACAATAATAATTACAGTCAACTCCGTGTCTCACGACACCCTAATGACGCTCCGTGTCACACGACACTTATCCGAGTTGTGACGCTCCCTGTGTCTCCCGACACTTATCCGTGTAATGACGCTCCATCTCAGCTGTGTCCCTTGACACCCTTTTCTCTACGTAATGACGCTCCTACTCTCCGTGTCACATGACACCCTTTTCTCTGCATCATACACTACTGTGTCACCCTTGACACCCAGCGACACACTCACACAGCGTCTTTCTTGAGGCCAGTCACATGACACTATTCAATGTACACTATAACCGTAACTTCTTTAGTGTCACACGACACCCTTTTCTTCTCAGTGTTCCACTAAAACAGCATCCGATGACTCCGGCCCACAATTGACCAGCGTAGGCGGTGAGTCCGCAGACATCACCTGTCCTGTAAATACTCTCCAAGGCCAGTAGAAGTACACCGTAAGATGGTCTGGTGAGTACTATCTACAGCCTTCAAGACCAGTTGATAAATAGTGTTTGTAGAACACCATGCTGAGAGCTCACCGAGTGCGGCCATCAAGTAACTGAGGCCATCAGACTCAGTGAGCTGCGGTGAGCGGTTCTTCTTCAGTAGAAGCCAGTAGAATACTCTACTGCCAGTAGATGTGTACCATTAGGTGTTCTGGTAACTACTGCTTAGATGTGTACCATGAGGTGTTCAGGTACTTACTGCTTCTAAAGCCGGTTCAGCAGTCCCCACATTGGGTTTGATGACGTACCCAGTGGTACTGCCGGCCGGCAGGTTAACTATTTAACCGCTAGTTTGGCAGGGGACCGTAACAATGGACAATGCACCTGCTCATCCTCCAAACTTGGATGACCTAATTCTGAAGGAGTTTGGGTTCATCACAGTAAAGTTCTTGCTCCCGAATACCACTCCTCTCCTCCAACCCATGGACCAGCAGGTCATTGCAAACTTTAAAAAACTCTACACCAAAGCAATGTTTGAAAGGTGCTTGAATGTGACCTCAGACACTCACTTGACCTTACGTGATTTTTGGAAAGAACACTTCAGTATTCTCCATTGCGTAAGCCTTATAGGTAAGGCTTGGGGGGGAGTGACTACCAGGACTTGGAACTCTGCTTGGAGAAAATTGTGGCCAGATTGTGTCCACAAGAGGGATTTTGAAGAGTTTGGGGCTGACCCTGATGAGCCTATGTCAGTTGTTAAATCCATTGTGGCACTGGGGAGTTCCATGGGGTTGGATGTGAGTTTGGAGGATGTGGAAGAGTTGGAGGACCACAACGAAGAGCTAACCACTGAGGAGCTGCAAGAGCTTCAGCAGGAAGAGCAACAGATCGCAGCTCAGAATCTTGCTGCAGAGGAGGAGGAAGAGAGATGGAAGAAGGTGCCTTCTTTAGAAATTAAGGAGATTTTTGAAATGTGGGGTAGGATGGAAAGATTTATGGAGAAACATCACCCTGAGAAGGATGTTGCAAGCCATATCGGCAACTTGTACAGTGACAGAGTCTTGGCCAATTTTAGGGAAGTTTTAAAGAGACGCCAGAAGCAGGGCTCTCTAGACAGTTTTTTTGTGAGACAGGACTCCAGTGACTCTCAAGGTGGTCCTAGTGGCATTAAGAAACAGAGAAGAGAAGTAACCCCAGAAAAGCAATTGGTACCCGAGGTGTTGATGGAAGGGGATTCCCCTTCCAAACAGTAAATCATCCAATCAGTCGCCTTCTCCAGTCTTCCATACACAAAGAAGAATTGCCAATAAAGGTAAGTGTTATTCTGTTAATGTTTAATTCATCATG